TCTTATTTAGTTTTATGTGTCATTCAAGATGGCGGCCCCCATATAGTAAATATCGTATTTATTTTATTATCACGTGTGTGCCAGCTGACTGTGGTTCTACCCTCCTCAGACAAGTGACCAGTCATCACCGCTGACTGGCAGGCGAGCTGACTAGCTGGCTTTAACCCGTTCCCTGTCACCGTGACTGGGAAAAACTATTTTGTGTTTGGTTATTGCTGGCTAGACAACTGTAGTGGACTAGTCACCGTGATGGACAGGAACTGTTTAGCGATTTCAGTGAACGATTGCTGCATGACGTGCTGAGACTGAGTGAAGAGAAACCACTCTGGCAAGACTGTAAACTTGTCATTGAGCCTCTGAAACAACAAACAAAATACATACGTTTCAATATAAACAACAACAATGAAAACAGGGTTCCATATTTTGCACACGTATTCCGTCCACAATCAGGACAAGAAATTTTTGAAATTTTTGCAGTATCCTACACGCAATTCAGATAAAATTCTGCTCCATTTTTTGGCCACAATGGAAGTGTCTCTCTTGTGGTTGGCTGACTAAAGGGCAGCCCATGTGTAACAGTACAGAAAGTTACTGTATTAATTACTGTATTAAATTACATGATAATACATAATAGGCTAGAAAGTTAGATTTAAAAGCAATGACTACCCAAATAACGAAGCACTTATCACTGTTACAGCTTCATTTTATAATGCTATGTCAACTGAAAACAAGAAAATAAACTTCCAAAACTGTGTTTATCAGTTCAAAAATGTTAATGTTAGGCAGATTACTCTTAAAGCCTACTTAGCTTTCTCAAAATAAACTCAAGGTGTCTCCCTAGCTAGATGAGCAAAACATAACGGCCCTTACCTGAAATCCCTTGAATTGAGCAACTCATGGTAATACATAACTTTAGCTTTGTGGTGATGATGATGGTGTTGCTTAGACGTGATAGAATGTGGTGGACTATGGTATTTCCACTGTAAAATATAAGATCCAGCCATCCTAGCTACATGAGTACCCTGAAAAACAACACAGACAGTAGATGAAATCACAATACATAACAAATAATTTGCAAGTTTCAATTAAATCTTCAAGTCTGGATTTCAGGATTCTCTGTCACTCTGGCTCTATACTGATTCCTCTGCCACAGGACCATGAGTTTAGGTCCGCAGAGCTCGGTATGTGAATTCAGATTAGGATCGCAGTGGAAGCAATCAATCTTACAAATATACGGGTTTCTTTACCCTGCACCAAGGTAACGAGTAGCAACAGAACCAACATCCTAATTTGATATAATCGAGTGTTGGGTTCTTGGTGGCCAGTGCAATATTACTGAGTGAACAGTCAGCAATGAGGTTGGAACCTACAATCTTCCTGATGTCAAGTGAACCAACCGATGCTCAGATTTTTATGTGACATAGCTTGCAGCTGTGAATATGTCCACATTCATAGCAATGATAGCTATTCCTCACCTGTATGCTTTCGCCAGCTTTACAAACCAGCGGTGATTCAGCTTTACTGTAGTCCACTCCGCTGACCATGGACTTGTCTAATATGATGTTATTACCACCAATGGCAGCCTCTACAGCTTCTACGACCGATGTGGGTTCTTTCGGCAGTGAGATTGGTCGTCTGCAACGCAGGAGGGAGAACACCAGATCTCCTCGTAATACATCAAAGTCCCATGTGATCACCTGGTCCTTCTCTTCAATGTTAACGAGAACCTGTGGACAGCGATGATAAATATCAAAAAATGATATGAAGTATAAATACAGCATTTAATACAACAGATAAACAAGCAGCCTCTTGGCTGAGATAGCTCCGCTGTTAGCAATGCATATTTCAATTAAAGAACAGAAGATATCATTAGAAAATGAACAAAATGTACAGTATCAAAACAATCAGACTTGTGGTTTTCAACAAGAAGTTGAAAATATCACTTTTTACCAAAAATGACAAAAACATTCACCAAAATTAGAGAATTGAGGATATCATCATGAAATGAACAAATCTGAGTTAGAACCACATGTAGCCCGGTAGTACCTATATATGTAATATCAAAGCAATTGGACTTGCGGTTTTCAACAAGAAGTCGAAAATATCACTTTTTACCAAAAATGACAAAAATATTCATCAAAATTAGAGAATTGAAGATATCATCATGAAATGAACAAATCTGAGAGAGGTCTACCCAAGGTACATATACACCAAGTATCAAAGAATTCAGGCTTGTAGTTTTCAAGAAGAAGTCGAAAAAGTAAAACATTGACACGGACGACGACGAATAATCACTCATATGATAAGCTCCGCTCGACAAAGTCGACAGCGGAGCTAAAAACCAACTGACCACATGATGCATACAGGCACTAGTTATAGTAATTCCTCTAACATGCTCGCTAATTATTTTAACTAATTAAATGACACTATGATTGTCACCAGGAAACGTGCAACATTAAAGTAATTTGGTCTGTCTGTAAAACTCAGTGCTCTTTGATCACTCTATTCGAAATGCACATCCACTAAAATTCAGTTATATTATGATTAGCACATGATAAAAGTCATCAGAATTCTTTTTGCAGGCTAATCATACCTATTATTTTTAATAAATTTCAAGTGGTAACAGAACCTAATTATTCTGTTAAAACACGTCTCAAAATTGCTCAGTGGTACTATAGCCAAATTATGACCAAAGATAGCTTTAAAAAAAAAACACCACCACCATTACTCTTGCTTTTAATATTTTATAGACGACTTTCCCGGAAGTAGCGAGACTGGGGTGCAAAAATACTCCTGCTTTGTCATGGCTGAAAAAAAACGGACATGTCAGTTTGCTTATAGTTGATAGAAAGGAATTTTATTTTTGTGATGTCGGTTGTTACACCCAGAAGCACAATATCATGCATGCACGCCGTTATCTTTGACTTCTGGGAAAGTCATCACTTTTATTCACTTTGTTATTGTAAATGAGGAACAGACATGACACTCACCTCATGGGGTGTCCCTTTGACAACAGTTGCTGATTTATAAATGTTGTCCGAACACAGCCTCCTCTCGCCAGGTTCGTACAGGTCCTCCAATGATTTGTACAGCATCTTGGGCACCAGACCACCCTCTGGTATTGAACACTAAGAAAAAAACAAACATACAAGACTATAGAGAACACAGAAACATGTTTTTTTAATATAATGAATAAGTTTGATATTTTTCCTGAAGTAGAAGTGCCATAACTGCATGTTGTTAATTTAGGAAATTAATTTAGGAAACTAATAAAGCAGAGAGCATCATTTTGAATGACAAATCAAATAAATTTCCAAGTAGTGCCACTAGAGGGCGTTATCACACAAATTGAAATATACAAATATACAGGGCTCATACTTGTGTACTACTAATTACATTTACATAAACGTTAGTGTTTGGGTGAATTTCTCCAAAAAAAAAAGGGTTACAAAGATCAAATTTGTTGAAACCAGATTTATGTAATAGAATTCTGGTCAGTAAAACGCATGTTGGCCAGCTCAAACTCCTACAAAATGGATGTAAACAAAACACAGATTTGTCAGTCTTTTTACCTTCAACATTATCAAAAACAAACAGTTTTGAAGTGCCTAATCAAGAGTTGCCCAGATCCACAGGACATCTGTAGTTGCCAATGAACGAAGCATCACAGGTGACGTAATTTAAGTATGCCCTCGCATATCGCGTTTCAGATAAAACGTGGTGAAAAAAAACCCCAATGAATATCAATAACCAAATGATACAAGGGCTACGAGCGCTGATAAACTAATTAGTGGCATGAGACCTATAGGCATCACATTATGATGAGTTGAACCAACTTACGTAGCATTCTCCATTCAGGAAGTCAGGTATGTACACCGGATCAATATAATCTGCTAAGCCACCTTTCCCAAGATAATCATAACCACCATAAATCATGAACTTCTGGCGTGTATTTTCATCAATAAATGGCGAGATCAGTGTCCAGAGAACCGGAAAGACGCGTGGTGCTCTGACGATCAGTAATCTCGCCATAGTCTCAGGGTAATTATCTTCTACCACTTCGATAACCCTGAGTAATGCTTTGACACCTGGTCTCCATAAATGCCTCATGCTCAGCCCTTCGAGATCAACAATAAACGTCCAAGCGCTGGAATGAACAAAACAAATATGGAAGGTAAATAAATGGCTTGTTTCAAATTTAACATAGCAGTCAGACAGAAACATTTGCAGTAAAACATGAAAACCTGACGAATGATATCCTGTATATTTTCAAAATACACCAAATCTCTACTTACCCGATTGGCTTTCCAGTAGCTTTAGTCGCTTCTTCAGTTCTACGTAGACCATCCTCTATAAGTGATAGCACCTAAATAAATAAGAACAAAAATCTCAAGAACTTTGTCTGATTGGCAGTTTCACTTAAGCCAGGCTTACAAAACCACTCTTACGAACATGTGCGTGATCGTGTTAGGAAAATCTGTATTTGATCTCTGTTAAATTGAAGGATTTGATTGGGCACGCCAAGGAGCAGGATCTATCAATCAGGATTCCTGTAACAACTTGCATCCAATCGATTCTACCGTGTTATATAACGTCACAACTTAACTGACAAAAACACATGACTGGAAACGTGTCAAAACTCTTCGCAATGGAAACACATCGGAGCACACGTTGTTGTGTTCAATTTCATCAACAGGGAATACAAATTTATAGTGGGAATTCTGCCAAGGTATAATAGTGAGGTGACAGCCAATAATTGAACCTTGGCTGGGAAAGATGGATATAATTATGCTACAATTTTTCAAGCGATAATACTTTCTTCTTCCAAGTGCCAATTTTTATAACACAAAAATCCACTAGTAATAATGCACATCAAATATTTACCACATTAGCAGTACTCAAATAACAGTAGGATTAGCTCCTTATTAGAGTGATAATTCATGCGAAATGTCACAAATGATGAACATAATAGCATACATTTGTATACCTTATTAGAAACCAAAAAATAATACTATTGCTAATGACTAATCTTAAACACAGATACACCTTTTAACATTTAGATAAGTGCATATACTACTAATAGAGCAAGTACGGTAAATAAATTTTGCTGCCGTGTTCTGAGTCTGTATCTATTCTACTCACATGTCTCAGAAGTCCTTCTTCACCTACTGCCTTCAGTAAGCCCTTCACATCCATGTTACCGAGGCGCAATATATATACAGGACGACCATCTACAAAAATAAGAAAATGGCACATTATGTACTGTAAAATCTGTATTAGAAGCCACGGCTTCTATTAAAATGGTACAATGCAACAGAGGGAATGCGGCTTCTATTACAACATCTACAATGGTTAATTTTTGGTTCTCAGTTGCTCAAAAAGAATGGGTGCAACTTCTATTAGAAATGCGACTTTTAATACAGATTTTACGGTACTAAGTAGAGGGATGAGGGCATATTTCCACAAACAACTTGAGAATAAATAACTGGTAAAAAATTTCCAGGACCTGATAGGTTAAATACTATTAATTATTTATTGTAAGCAAATATTACCTCGATCCAAGTAGTGCCATCCACCTGAGAAATATTGTAGCAGCAAATCCGGTGGTGACCAAGTCTTCAATATCTTATCCACTTGGTGCTGTTTTCGCCATGACAACGAGCGGGCCAGCATTTCGTGAGCTTTCTCCACGTTGAAATCCCGTGCTCGTAAAAATCTCAGCAATATGGCATCATGGGGCATCTGAAATTATGATGACATTTTGAATGTGTAGTTATAGAAAAATATTGACGATAACATGTGATATTTGGCATGAAGTAATGAGTTCACATGCAGTGCCGAATTCACCGTTAATCCAAGCTACATATAACTAGACATAAAACACAGTACTACAGAGTTGATATATATATTTTTCTTTACCTTTCCTTTAAGGGTTTCACTAATCCATTTCCGTAATTGCACCAGTCGGCTTTCTTGCATTGGGTTCAAGTCTCCTAGGAAACGCTGAATGTAATCTTCATCAACATTGCGAACTACAAATATGAACATAAACAAGTTAAAAAAAACATCAAGTCAAATCAGTTTGCAGGTACATCATAGGTTCCCTAAAACATAATTATAAATCATTAATTAAATGAAGATTGCATCATTTGATGAACAAATGTCACAACTCGGCAAATATTATTCGATGATGTTTGATACAGTTTTATTTTTGATAGATCAAATATAGGCTCCTCCAAGGGTGACCTATAAGCTACAATTTGGAGAAACTTTTTATACAGTTTTTATATCACAAACTCTTCAAGGAAGAAACATGATTTAAAATGTTCTATCTCACATGTATTCATGTGGCACAAACTATTAAAACTTGAATATAATTTTTATAAAAATGCACAATATAAACGTACGATCTTTTCGAAATGAGGTAGATGACTTCCATTTTTTATTATTGTTAATACATGTAGATGATAATAGAATAAATTTGCCAGTGTAACACAACTAAGAATATCTTGATTTTCTGTGAAGCTGTATCGAACATCCTTAAAGAAGATTAAAACATTTTGCAACACACTCACATTGTTCATAAAACTGAGAAGTTGAAAATTGACTGATAGCATTTTCATTCTAACAAAAGCTCAAATTATTGTAAAATATACACATACATTGCAACAAGTCCTTGCATTCACCCTTGTTTCTATGTTGCGAGAAGAGGGGGGGGGGATTTAAAAAATTAATGCTGGTTACCATTAATATGTTGTCAAGGGTTACCATTAATGTGTTGTCAAGGGTTACCATTAATGTGTTGTCAAGGGTTACCATTAATGTGTTGTCAAGGGTTACCATTAATATGTTGTCAAGGGTTACCATTAATGTGTTGTCAAGGGTTACCATTAATATGTTGTCAAGGGTTACCATTAATATGTTGTCAAGGGTTACCATTAATATGTTGTCAAGGGTTACCATTAATGTGTTGTCAAGGGTTACCATTAATATGTTGTCAAGGGTTACCATTAATATGTTGTCAAGGGTTACCATTAATATGTTGTCAAGGGTTACCATTAATATGTTGTCAAGGGTTACCATTAATATGTCATCAAGGGTTACCATTAATATGTTGTCAAGGGTTACCATTAATATGTCATCAAGGGTTACCATTAATATGTTGTCAAGGGTTACCATTAATATGTTGTCAAGGGTTACCATTAATATGTTATCCTTTCAATGGAGACCTAATAAGCTTTGATACGTATAAATACCAACAATTTTCATCACAGTACTCTTTATGAGGGGGGAGGAGGCAATGATGAATTGCTAACACGCAGTTTTCCCGTTTTGTCAAATTCACATTTAGATGTACATATGTAGCCAAGCCAAAATAGCGTATTTAGCATTTCTGAAAAATGGGCATTTACAACATGCATGTGGCTAATTATTATCAGATATCCAATTTCATTAATTTTCTGATTTTCAGTATCTTCACGACTTGTTTTTAATCACTACAGTGACATACATAAACAAGGTACATAATCTGATTAAATAATAGGTCATTATAATATGCATAATACGTCTCATCCAAACACAATAAATGAATTCTCTCAAAAAAAGAAAAGGAAATGTACTTACAGGACCTGAAATGCAAGTACGCTGGTATAACACAGTCACCAAATAATTGAATCATTTCCTACAATAAGACCCTCCTTTCTTCCCACCCATATTAATTTCAGAAGAACTGAATGAATAACCATCACACCCTTAGACAAAATTTTAATTTATTTTAAAGCAATTTTAAGAAATGCTTACACATGCAGTATGTAAAGCACATTTAGAATGAAAATATGACAGAGCCAATCCTGAAGCCAATAAAAGAAAAAATGTCATTTTTTAAATGAGAATTACTGAAATAAAAGAACAGCATTCAAAATCAAATTAAAAAAATTCCCAACAATAAATAAGTTAGAGGTTAACAAGTCATAAGGTGAACCAGCGCTTCAATTAGAGATAAGACGCTGCTTGCATTAATCAAATCACTCCTTGGGTTGCTCAATTCCCCATCTTCATTACCTTCATTATCTTTTGATGAGCCTCCACCACCTCCACATGCCCCGACCTCACCATTATCCAGCAATTGACAGTCTTCCGTCAGTTCTTCAGTTGCACTGTGTGTGGGGGAGTTTAAAGCTATTTTACCTTTAACCATACCATTAGGCAGGTTTTCCTCGGTGTGCGTTTCCGACCAGGACGGTATATGAGTCACCCCTTCATTATTCAGTTCGTTGACATAGTACAGAATTATTTCTTTACCCTGCGATGAAAAAGAAAAAGAAAAAAAATCCATCAGCGGGTATGAAAACATGTGCCAATCAGAAGCTGTAGTGAAACGTACGTTATAATAAATATAGAGGGATGACAAAATGCTATTCCCTAAGGGAAATGTCAATTTTAGCGTGCAAAGGAATAAACTAATCACACCATACCCACTCGGAGTACGTTATTACAGAACTTGTGTTGACGAGTGTCGAAGTAGGTCTCTAGAGCCAAAGCGCCAGAGGGATTCACCAGTGTTACACGTAATTACCATGGTATGGTAGATTAGATTATACACACAATGCACTAAAACTTTTATTATAACTCCGCCCCTCCAGCAAAATAGCCTATTACTTCAGGTATTCAGAAATAAATAACGTACATTGCAAACTCTAAATAAGCATTCCTGAAGTGCTTATGTCTGGCAAAAAAGACAATATTTTCACAAGACTTCAAGATGTGGCTTTCCCCTTTAATCCTTTGAGTACCATAGTTTTTTTCCTTTTTTTTTGACCAAATTTTGAAACAATTATGTGGGTGTGATGTGTTGACTCAGGAACACACAAAACATCAAAGAAACCAGAGAGCTTTCAAGTTTAACTTCTTGCTCATCCGCCATTTTCAGTTATCAACGGCACTACTTTTTACATATCAATACACTCAGGTGATCAGGTGACATAACACCATTACAAAAGTATGTATCCTGACGCATGCAATAAAGTAGTCCTAAAAACGTCACAGTGGGTTTGTGAATGGTGACAATAGTAGACTTTTTTTGACTTGTAAAAGAAAGCTTATTTGGCTTCTTGCCTTTGCTGAAACATTTACATGAAAAATTTCTCTTCGAACACAAAAGTTTAAAGATACAATCATTAAAAAAAATGTTTAAAATAGCTCCAAAAATAAGGATATGAAATTAAATAAAATTGAATGAATGAGATACCACAAAATGAACAAATCTGAGAGAGGTCCACTTGTAGTACCTTTATGTATGCTGGGTAATATCAAATCAATCGAACTTGCGTTTTTTAACAAGAAGTCAAAAATATCACCTGTAGTACCTATATGTATAATATCAAAGCAAGAAGTTGAAAATATTACTTTTTACCAAAATCTAAGAGAGGTATGCCTGAGGTCCCTATACATGTATGTATAAGTTTTCAAGAAGAAGCCAAAAAAGTAAAAAGTTAATGCGGACAACGATGGACAATCACTCATATGATAAGCTCTGGTCGACAGCAGGGCTAAAATGTCGACAAGGAGTTTGTTGATGTGTACGTTTGACATTTTTCCTAACTGTGTAATTTGCCAACGAAAACTCATAAACTAGTATAGAATATTTTATTTTATTTTTTTTATTTTTATTTTGTAGCCTTTGGATTATAAATCCATGCATATCTATAAAAATAATAAATCACTCACCTTCTTAATATTCTCACCATATTTCTTCATACATATCTTTTCCACCATGTTTTCAAAACCCAAAAAGGACTTGACATCCAGACTTGCGTCTTGCTCAAATACCGTCCACTCAGGGTTGTCAGGATGAACCTAATTCAAACAATTGATATAAAATATTAGAGATGACAAGACTATCCGGCAAGTTCCCATGTTTAACTGTATAATATTTGTATTTTAGTTTTCAGTGCATATAAATTAGACCATTTCCCGGTCACTGCAAGATCTTGTGTTATGTGTGGAATCGAACAACAAAACAGGACAAACAAAAGTCATAGTGGTATCTAAACATCGAGTAGGATTTGACAAATGAGAAAGTAATTTTTGGGGGTATTTTTGCAATTAATGTGCTAAGCACATGTAAAAATAGTCAGATTTGACGATATAACTTAACAGCATTCTCCCTACTGAAAGATGAGTATTCCGATATTCAGCTACATGTATAACAAAAGAAATTCAAGTTGAAAATCAAATCATCTGATTTTTGTGGAAGACGTTTACTTTGCACCAATCATGCAATTCATGAAAGCTTGCAGTGAACGAACATACTGTGAAATACTTTATTATAGTTGGAATTAATTTTTGCTGAAAAGACTTTTTGGGTGTTTTATATGAAATTTATTTTCACTGATTTTTGATGAGTTGAATGTAAAATATAGGAAAAAATGTATATTTTATTTTCACTGAATCATTCCTTCAGCAAAAATAGCACAAATTAATTCCAGACGAAAATAAAGTCTTTTACAGTAGTAGGTCTCACTACAGTATGTATTCCAGTCAATTTTTAAATATTCACAAAATATTCCAGAATTTTCTTACCAAAAAAGATTAGAAAAATTATGATATTTGTCCTATGAATGTAAATAAACAAAATGTATACACATGTGCTTAGAAACAATTACCATTAATATTTACAGATTTGAAGATTGAAATACATTGATAATACCAACAACATGAACATCCCCAACAAAAACATGCAAATGCAAAGCTGAACTCAACTCAACATCATGGCACAGCGCCCCTTATGGTAGGATACTGAAATGTGTACTCAATACAACATGTATTAAAATACATCACATATAAGGTAAAGTGTTTTTCTAAGGTCTTAATGACTACAATTTTTTTCATTACAAATTGTCTAAATTGAACAGTTATAAGAGTATCAACATCCATAAGTCACTGAATCTACTTTGCGGCACCTCATAAAAATATTGTAATAATTATCTCATACGCCTAATGTACAACATACGAGTAAATTAAGAGAGACAGACAGACCAAGTTGGGCCAGTAGGCTGCTATTTTTAGAAATCAATATCCTTAACCGAAGAACGGGAAAAAACTCAATATAATTATGCAGGTGATGTATATTAGGGACTTTTCTGTTGATAAAAACAACTTGGGCTTGATTTATAATAACTAGTGATACACAGCTGGAGAACAGAAAATTCCTTGGATATTATTAAAATATTAGTCATTTTAATAGACAATTTTTATTTCAAATGAGAGCAAACAAGACAAGGGAGTTACAGGTGACAAAATCTCATTATGTTGTCATTTTTAAATAAATAAATAAAAGAGCAAAGGTAATTTGGATTTGTTGCAGAAAACGTTTAACATTGAAATGACAAAATTTTTGATTTTGATGAATTATTAACACAAAAATGGCCACAATTTGAATGTGATTGGTCTAGGCATATTTGAAATGCAAGTGGAGACCGCACAAAGAACAGAAATCAAAACACAAGTTTCTGTTTTCGAAGGGGTACTAATAATCACAGTTTCATTTACCAAAGGTGACAAAAGAGTTTAGGATAAAAAAAAATGGTAAACTGGTTGAACAAATTGGCAGTGAATTTCATTAGGAAGTCCTGTGACCATTTTGGTGATTATATATAGGAAAAGTAACAGGCGAACAAAATGGATTGGATTACTAATCTTCATTACGCCGATGGGATTTCCATTACCAGGAAACGATATGCCCATGCACAGGAAATTAATTAGCCCAAATAAGATACATTACGTAAATGTAAAGTAATCTTTGCAGAAATAATAAGCGGAAACTATGTCTTATTATTGACGTAGGCTTTTTCATATATGGATAGCCAAAATAAGCAACTAGTCGATCCATATTATTTGCATATTAAAAGTTAGCAATGCATGTAACCGTTATGGGTTACTTGCTATATTTGTTTGAACAATTCTGACAGAAAGTTGCCATGGAAAAAATGAAAAACAGATCTGGCTCATATGGTATTGGTAAATCATGTTGTAAATGTTTTTTGAAAGGTCAACTGTGTCATTTGTGAGGTTTATATGCGAGTAACTGATGATAATGACTGAGTGCTGAAGGCGGAAACGTAAATTACAAAGTTTTATTTATAAGTCAAACTGCCCCTATTCATCTTACAAACACTTATTTTATTTCTGTCAACCAATAGAAAGTGCATTTCTACAGATGCAACAAATTCATTTTTATCAACCAAACCGGAATATGTCCAAATTTGAGGCAAGAAATTTCTGAAAGTTGACCTATTTCATTCATTTAGTCATCTATTATTAAACGCATAATAAAAAGAAAAGTTGCTCCATTTTGTTTTTTGATGAATAACGCCCACATATCAAGCCACATAACAACGTGATGAAACCATGGAAGCTAATGCAATTACCCAGAAATCATCAGTTGCTCAATCAGCTGCAACTACTTAAAAAGTAATTGCTGTACAGCACTGAACAGTATTCAAACAATTAACAAATTACATAGTCTATAAATAAATGTCTAAAACATGACTATGAATAAACTGGAAATCAGTCTTTAGATTATTGAACATCACTTACCAGTACCTCTGTAATAGGTCACTTTCATGACCCCTAACAGGTCACTTTCATGACCCCTAACAGGTCACTTTCATGACCCCTAACAGGTCACTTTCATGACCCCTAACAGGTCACTTTCATGACCCCTAACAGGTCACTTTCATGACCCCTAACAGGTCACTTTCATGACCCCTAACAGGTCACTTTCACATCCTGGTACTGTTTTAGCTACTTGAGTGGAATATTTTTGTTAGAAGCAAAAAGACGCTTAAAATGCCCCAATTTTGTATGTCTGTGGTGCTGTCATACCAACAAAAGTATCCCATAAGGCAGCATATTTTTTTTCACCCAAATTATGATCCATCATTTTGTTAATTTGGTATCTGAACATAACTTTCAGTACTCAAAATGTGTTAAACCATGGATCTACATGTATATTATTTCTAGTGTATAAATACAGCGCTTATAAGCCATCATGTGTGGGGTTTTATTAATGCTAGTTGCCTCAGTTAGTTGTCTCATGTACCAGTACTTACAGCCTTGTACCTTGTTCAGTGTATTGCCTCAAAAATCAGCACGTGGCCTTAGGATCACAAGTGATACTTATATGTAAAGCACAGTTTGCATTACATATACTTACAAAAAATAAAATAAAATATCTCAGTTGAATAACTGACATAGGGGACTGTATCAAGTAAAGATAAAATAATACAATCAAATAAGTGTGGAGACAAAAGAGCTGCTATGATAACAACAGTAATGTCAGTATGAGGTGCTACATGTTGACAATGCAACATACCGCCAATAGTCAAAGAGAAAATTCAATTCATATTAAGCGTAAACTGAAAAGGTTTTAATGAGCCGCTTCTGGATTTTTCCCATTTCATGTAAAAAGAAATAGCAAATTAAGTTTTAATAATACATAACAGATGTGCAAGAAAGAGATCTCTTTCAGGAAGCTTCATCAAGTATATAAATCCTGCATGCCATACAGACACTATAGAGACCCTGTCTATGTAATCGGAGACTAGTTTTAATTATGCATGTTACATGTACATGTCAGGTCATATCATACTCCTATCAAGCTCATATTATGTAGCACAAAGGTTCCAAACATTGTTTGTACATCACATTGGTGTGACCTCCTTATATAATTGAGTAAAAAAAATAATTTTGTTTTTTTCTTTTTGATTATTTATTTGGGTTTAATTATTTTCTCTGATCAATAAAATTTCCCTTAGTTACTGTAAAACGTGTCTTTTTATGTGATATATACATGTAGCTAGCATGTTATTTTAGCTAATGCGTAATTTCACTAATACAAGATGTAGCTAATTTATATTATATTATACCAGTATATTGAGGGTGTTTAATCTATTGATTTGATTGGTCCAAACACGAAATTTGTATATTGTCTGATAATACACAGCTAAACAAAGTGGCCCTGGAACATGAATTAACTACAGGTTTAAAGCGGGAATACATAAAATTGAAAGTATTTGATTTTCAGGGAAATATAGTGGTTGAACTTTGGAAAAATATTGGAAAAATTATATAATCATAATATTGCTTTTTGTTAATGGCGGTTGTGAGTGACTGTTAGGTGATCGTCTGTTGCCACACAAACCTAAACGGATGTCAGAACGCTGTCTTTGTTGGTAAAACACGTCTTGTACGTCCTCCAGGTGAAATGGATTGTGAACCTCCAACAAAGAAAACAAGATGAGACTGAGGGATTGATTTATGTCGTGAATTGTGCAATCTTGTGGTATACCCGGCTTTGGTGGGGGTTATTGCTCAATTACAATGTATTTTACAGTAAATTAATTTGAACTTGTCAAATAGGCAAATATTCACTTCTTGTGTAGTGTGTGAAAGACACGAAAGAAACGTCTGCTGCAAAAATGGAATGATTTGATTTTGAATTGTTCTTTTTATCATTTAATGTCAAAAATTGATATAGAGATGCCTTCACTCCATCAAAACTGACCATTATCAAATGTGTACAGCACATATTTAACATGGAAACACCCAACAAATATTTCTCTATTTGTCAAAATCAACGCCATGTTTTGATGCCATCTCAACGCTAAGACCTTCGTTTATTCGATTCATTCATGCAAAACGCAAGATATGGCAGTGAATGGAAAATGGTCTATTACAATAGAATTCATTATCACAATAGAAAATTTATAAATTAAAAACATCCCGAGTATGATTAAATATCAATATAATAGTGAAGTTAAATATCAGAGAAAATGAATGCCTTTATTGTATTA